ACTAAATTCTTCTCATATTCTTTGACCCTTAGTAATCCTTAGCGTCTTAATGGCATTATCGCCTTTCTTGGGGTGAAATGATTTTAAAGAAATAGGTCGATAGATGTTTCCACTCCTTTTGCCTTCAATATATCCTGTGATTGTTAAACACTTTTCCTCAATATGTGCCTAGCAAATTCCCATATCTCTTATAATAAATAAATTATAAATAAGATATGCATTTCTTGTAGCTGCTATTTTCCCTAAAACTACCTCGTTTCTCACATATTCTGCTCATAGTAGGGCACCTCGAGGCAGTGTAATGGTTAGCAAGCTTGTCTTGCTAGTGCAATTACGACTGAGTAGTGAGTTCGATCCTCACTGGATGCCCCTTACTTTCGGCCTTGTGCCACAGCTACGCTTGGAAAATCAATCTTCTACTCATAGTATCCCCAGTATTCATTTGTGTGCTTTAGTTTTCTCTCCGAAACTGTGCAGCATCCATTGCCATATATGTGATAAAGGATCAAATAGCAGTTGTGCACTACTTTTGTTAATAACGATATTTTTTTTTTCTTTTAAAAGTCTGCTTCTGTCCTATTATTCTGCAACGTCGTATTTCAGTGTCACATCGCCATTCGACTGTTTTGTTTGGTTTGTCTTGTTTTACGGCATATCAGCCACAATGTGTTATTTAATGTCGACAAATTTTTTATTGCTGCTAATAATTTGTTTTGTCAAAAATATATTTCTGGTAATATTTTACCCTTCAAAAATCTATTTCTGGTAATATCTTTTTCTTCAAAAATCTATTTCTGGTAATATCTTTTTCTTCAAAAATCTATTTCTGGTAATATCTTCCTTCAAAAATCTATTTCTGGTAATATCGTTTCCTTCAAAAATCTATTTCTGGTAATATCTTTTCCTTCAAAAATCTATTTCTGGTAATATTTTTTATCTTCAAAAATCTATTTCTGGTAATATCTTTTCCTTCAAAAATTTATTTCTGGTAATTTTTTTTATCTTCAAAAATCTATTTCTGGTAATATTTTTCTTCAAAAATCTATTTCTGGTAATATCTTTTCCTTCAAAAATCTATTTCTGGTAATATCTTTCCCTTCAAAAATCTATTTCTGGTAATATTTTTTATCTTCAAAAATCTATTTCTGGTAATATTTTTTATCTTCAAAAATCTATTTCTGATATTTTTCCCTTCAAAAATGTATTGCTGGTTATAATTTTTTTGAAAAGGGAATTGCTGGTAAGTTTTTTCCTCAAACATGTATAGCTGGTAATATTTATTTTTCAAACATGTATTGCTAGTAATATTTTTTTCAAAAACATATTGTTGGTAATAGTTTTTTTTTCTTCAAAACTTTATTACTAGTAATAATTTATTACAATGTATTTCTGGTATAAAAACCTATTTTTACACTTTCATAGTGTTTTTACCCCAGTTTCGGGGTTAACTATTTGCCCATAGCTTGGACCCTGACAGGTGCTACTACCCCGGTTCAGGGTGGACCTGGGAACACCAGCAATTAAGAGGTCGTTCCACGCTCCTCAAAATCTCCTGATGAAAGGCCTTGCTGCTGGGCGTAGTTTATCGTCTTACCCAGGAGGCGGATGTAGTTTATCGTCTTACCCAGGACGCGGATGTAGTTTATCGTCTTACCCAGGACGCGGATGTAGTTTATCGTCTTACCCAGGATGGTCCACTCGTTTGTTGCTACTCTATTCAGATAATTGTCTTGAATTTTACACCCCCCAAATACGTAGCTTATCGTCTTGAATGTTACGCCCCAATTTATTCTTCTATGTGGCATGTGCTTTACGGACGTTGGCGATCATGACTCTCCACAATATCCTGTCTTTGGTAGCTCTTAGCAAATGTCTTTTTGCTATCTTGCTTAAACACTGTCCTGACAACCATTTACACAAGCTCGTGAGCAACGACGAATTTCCAGAGAAAATGAAAACAAAAAGAATATAAACGTATATATAACATCAGAAAGAAACAGTTGAACTTTAGAGGTCACATAATGAGGAAAGAGGGCTTAGAAAATCATATACTCACATGACAGATTGAAAGTAAGAAAGACAGTGGAAAACAACGCATAACTTTTTTAGTGACCTTGAATAAATGGATGGTGGGACAAGGTTTAGGAGAGATAAAAAATGCAACATTTATCATGAGCTACAAAAGACATGAAACTGTGGAGAGCCATCATCACCTACGCCCTGAAAAGACAGAGCTGATAGGAGAAAACCAGCAAGCAATCCTCAAGTAGGGGAGATTGGCATAACACACTTTTTTTTTGCGTAATTCTACATTTCACTCCTTGTCCTAAAATATGCCATGGAATACGAATTTCTATGTCAACCATTTTAACCTTCCAGATCGATGATTCAACAGTAGATATACATATCACAAGCAAGAGCCAGTCATGCGGCCGAGGTAACTTTTGAACTACACAAGTTGCCACTTTTCATTTTGCTGTTTCGTATAATTGCACCGTAAACCAAGCTTTGTATCTCCTTCATGGAATGCGCATTTAAAACCCGTAACAATGTGAAAAAAAAGTTCAGTTCTTCGTGCAAGTTTTTAAAAGATTCCATCGAGAAACAATGATGACCCAATCTTGCACAATTTGGTTTGGTTGCAATGTTTTGCACTGATGTACAACAACCCTCTCTTCTTACACCTAAAATCCCAGAGCACAAAAGTGTGTAATGTCTGGGGAGAGAAAGAATACTGCAGAGGATGTCAGATAATACTGCGTTATTAACAGCCTTTGGGTTCCTCCTTGTGGATTTTCCAGCCTGGCTTGAATTCAGAGATTTCCTTCTCTTATACCGGTTGCCAGCCAAAGCTATAGAACCCAAGCTATCCCGTTATTTACCCATAGCTGCTGGAGAAGCGATGGATTCATACCTTTCCCAAGGTTATTAGTACCTAAGTGAATATAATTAATTCGACTGGAATTCGAACTCGGCTCTCCGATTCTCGAATTCGATTCGCTGTCCATTACTCCATCGTGCCAGTTAAACGAATATGCAAAAGCGCGAGTTGGATCTCTACACTTTCACTCTAGAAATGACTTCTCTAGAATTAAGTCTTTAATTTAAAAAGAAAATATAGTCAAGTATTTACTGTTCATTTTTCCTTCAATTGGAGTAGATTAGAACGCCTATCGTCCGGTCCACACACACCCGGTCTTTTGAATAGAAGAGGTTTATTCATTGTTTTGTTGTTCAGGATTGGGATTTGGTTTCCTACTAAATCCTACTTCAAATCTGTACTTTTAACGTCTCCACCTGAAATATGAAATTTTATTTCCCATTGTTTTGTTTTTTTATTTTGTTTTTTTTCCGGAGTAGGAGTATATAATTTTCCTATCGCCCGCTTCACAATTCTCCCACGTTTTTTTGAATAGGAGTAGTTGTTTATCCCTTGTTTTCTGCTTAGGACTGTGTTTCCAGTTCCTTCCAAAGTCTCGACATTTTATTTCACTACCAGTAACGTTTTAGTGACGATATCGCTTTGCTTGAGATAAACTGATTAAAATGCTATATAATATCAATCCGTCTATATAAGAGTGAATGTTGGACAATCTCATCATAGTTGAAAAGGAGATTTGAGGCAATGGAGATGAGTTTCTAAAAAAGACTCCTGAGAGTATCAAGGACGGAATATGTAAACAATTGGGAAGTTTTCAGGAAAATAGAAAGAAAAATTTTGCTTAGGATCAGAAATTAACAGTTGAAAATTCTGGGATGCATAATAAGGAAAGGGTGCTTGGAGAATCTGAAAATCACAAGACAGGTTGTAGGATAGCGGTGCTGAAGTAAGCAGCGAGTAATATTGTTATACCTGACGTACCTATTCTATTATTAATAGACTCTCCCACACATAATAAGTAGTAGTAGTAGCGGTCGACAATTGAGCTCAGTGGTGTTGAGTGAGTCAGTCGATGTCGGACATTGAAGTATCAACTATCAAACCTAGATTGCTGCGTCATCAACTCTTATTTCAAGTTCCTAACGTTTTGTACGTCAAACCTAATTTAGGACGACTTATTGAAATACAAGCCTCCATTGGGAAAACTACTCTACAACAAATATACCTTATAAGCAGAAAATGATCACGGTCGGATAGTAAGGGGTAAGCTTAAGGTAGTCACAGTAGAGTTAATGGATAGCGACTCGGATTGAGGAATCGGAGAGCCGAGTTCAACTTACAATCGAATTGGTCTACTTGGGAAAGGTTTTTAACAGCAGGGCAACTATCAGTTCAAAACTTGTAAACTATGGTTTAAACAACACCAGTTGCCTAGGCGTGGTGACTATGGCTATATTATGTCTTCAGGGAATGGTTCCTCCAAAAACTGAGACTGGATATGGATCTGGCAGCTTTCATGCCAGACAATTCTTCATCCCTGGTCGTACCTCGGCACTACAAGGAATAAGAATTCATGAAAAGCCATGACAGCCCACGTCATAAGAGACATAAAATAAGAACAAAATTTTGCGATCCTTCCTCGTAAAACTAAAATGCTAATATTTTCAATGCTGATGCTAAAGTTAAGCTTCTACTTCCTATTTTAAAACTGGCGCAAAGCAATCTTCTAGCCTCCACATAAATCTTGCGTCATAGTAAATATACACACTCCAGTACAAACAAAAGGAAGCATAGATTATCCGATTTAAGCAATTTTAATTTAATCTTTTTTTATCTAGTTAAACTAAGGAGTAAACGAAATTCCAGTGTGGGTCCGCTGTTTAAAGAAACACGGAATTAAAAATTATATATATATATATATATATATATATATATATATATATATATATATATAATCTCTAAACTAGTTTAAGCATTAAAATGGATGTTTTCTCATGATACAATTAATTTGGGCGGCAGAAAAATTCACTATATCAAAGAAAGGTAAACAGTTAGCATCTTTTGAATGTGTTGAACGACGTGGCTCGATTGGCGCAGAAACTAAACCTGATATGCAAAGATGGCGAAGAAAACAGGAAGGAAGAGAAAGAGAAGGGAAATGATAGGAAAGAAAAAGCGGAAACAGTCACAAACACGGGAAGCCATTTTAGGCCGAAAAACACTGGTCCGTTTACATTGGAGAAGTTGGTATTACTCGAAACCTGAATACATCAATCAACATTGTAGTTCCTTTCTTTCTTTCTTTCTGTCTTTCTTCCCTTCTTTCTGTCTTTCTTTCTTTTTCTTCCTTTCTTTCTTTCTTCCTTTTTTTCCTCTTTCTTTCTTCCTTACTTTCTTTCTTTCTACCTTTATTCCTTTTTTCCTCTTTCTTTCTTCCTTTCTTCCTTCATTTCTTTCTTTTCCTTCCTTTCTTCCTTTTTTCTTCCTTCCATCCTTCCTTCCTTCCTTCCTTCCTTCCTTCCTTCCTTTCTTTCTTTCTTTCTTTCTTTTCCTTTCTTTCTTTCTTTCTTTCTTTCTTTCTTCCTTTCTTCCTCTTTCTTTCTTTCTTCCTTTCTTTCTTTCTTTCTTCCATTATTCTTTTTTCCTCTTCCTTCCTTCCTTCCTTCCTTCCTTCCTTCCTTTCTTTTCCTTTCTTTCTTTCTTTCTTTCTTTTCTTTCTTTCTTTCCTTCTTTCTTTCTTTCCTTCTTTCTTCCTTACTTTCTTTCTTTCTTCCTTTTTTCCTCTTTCTTTCTTCCTTACTTTCTTTCTTTCTTCCTTTCTTCCTTTTTCCTTCCTTTCTTTTTCCTTCCTTCCTTCCTTCCTTCCTTCCTTCCTTCCTTTCTTTTCCTTTCTTTATTTTTCTTTCTTTCTTTCTTCATTTCTTTTCTTCCTTCCTTTCTTTCTTTCTTTCTTTCTTTCTTTCTTTCTTTCTTTCTTTCTTCAATCTATCTATCTTATACCGTCCAACCTAGTGATTTTAGTCTCTCCATATCGATTTTAGTGTATTTATCTATTTATATAAATAAATCGTTGGTTTTTTGATTTTGTCAACTGCACCATACAGTAGGGTCAGTTGGGCTCCGTCTGTAAGGAAAAGATCACCATGATACATTTCACTTCGCCAACAATTTGGAAACGACATACTGTACTGCTTGGTATTCGCACCGGAAGCTGCAATACGAACTTTTCAGTGTTCAGATGTAAATCTGAGTGTAGTGCAGAGAAATCATAAAGAGTTGGATGAGTCTAACAGTGATTAAGAAGGTACGGTAGTTCGGAAAACTCACTCTGATCGTTCTGATGAGAAAAAAAAACAAACTCCCGAATTTGTTAGCCAGGGCCTCAGACACAACATGGAACACTAAATCAAGTTGCTTGCGCTAAGAGAGTATCTGCTAGAAGATCCTATGTCTGGCAACAGGACTCATCACACAAGCAGGAGAAACTAGTCATGGCTGTTAGACTATTTCTGCGACTACATCACCCATTACATCTGGCCACCTAACTCCTCAGACTGCAACCCTCTTGATTATTATGTGTGGAGTGCAGTTGAGCGAGAGACCAACAAAATTCTTTATAACACCAAAGATGAACTGAAGGCAAGGATTATGGCAGCATTCACCAACTTAAACAAGGAAACCATTCAGAAGAGTTACAGGATATCCCGAAGTCGCCTGGAATAGCGATATTATTGTATAAATTTACTCTTTAGTATTTCAGGATATTTTTGTGTGATTTTGGTAAACATATCTCTTAAAATGAGCTGTCAGTGTTATATTCATTTTTGTGTAATTTAAAACGACAATTTTTTTTCCATCACACGCTGTATATTGAATTATCCACATAATAGAGGAAGTACTGTAATCAACACCACTGGCTATGCCTTTTCACAAATGATGACCAGGAACCTGCATGCCGCCCTAGATACGTGGCTTGATAATACACGCTATCTTTTTATATCTATATTAACGTCTTATCTATCTATCTATCTATCTATCTATCTATCTATCTATCCCAGTCTGTTCAATCTCTCTCTCTCTCTCTCTCTATCTCTATATATATATATATATATATATATATATATATATATCTCCCAGTCTGTTCATTATCTATCTATCTATTTATCTATCTATCTATCTATCCTAGTCTATTCATTATCTATCTGTCTATCTATCTATCTAGTTTGATAGCTATATTCTGTGTGCATATCTCATTTCTTTTATTTTTTTTTAGAGTTTAGGGGTGTAACATTCCGTATATATGTATATCTGTCCGGCCCATTCATTTACTGTTAATGAGAAAAGAGGTTAAGTTGGGCAATGGGGTTTCAAATTTACCCCCACTTCACACGCATATTGCCGCAACCTTTTCAATTTTCAAACAATTCTGAAAAATCTTCTTTGGGAATCCCTTTTAGTTACCGTAACATTAAAATTTCTAATAAATTTCCTGGAATTTTCAATGTTAAATTTGTTTCTTTTTTTTTTCTTGAGATTTTCTCCACTTTTGGTGTAAGAGGCTGGGATTTTCTCCACTGGAGTTTTGTACGCTGGCTTTTTGTCCTGTTCCAGAGTTGACATACACGTGTAATATTTAGTAACCATCATTTCAATTTCAAACATTTTCTTGAATTTCATTGGTTGTTAAATAAAAAATAAGCTTCGAGAAATTTCCATAACAAAACAGTCAAAATTTGTGCAATAGTAGACTCAAAAAAAAAAAACTTTCTCAAATTCATATCTAATTTAAATATTTCAAGAAATCCTATTGGCTAACAAATAAAAAATACAACATTTGCCCATGCATTTCTCAGAAAAATTCGCAACAGCTACCAAGCCCCGTGGAGCCGATTTCGTTGTTAAGAAAACTATAAACAGAAACAGTAAACGAATTTTCGTCGCATTTGAGACACACACACGCGAAAGATACACACGGAAATTATGTGCCGCCAAAGAAACCAACTTCCTTCATGAGAGATTAGAAAAATTTACACAACAAACTTTTTCACTCAATATCTTTCATAAAAAAAATTTTTGTCTAAGTTAAATTCAACCTTTTTAATCAAAGGCAGACAACTTTTTAGACATTGAACATTTCCGAAACAGCAATTTTCTCTAAAATATACCTTTTTACACATCATTACAAACAAAGAAATTGTAAATTCTGTATATAAAATTTAACCTGTGGTTTCAAACATGTATTTTTGTCGTGATTTAATATCGTTAACATTTGGCCATTTCTTATAATTTATGTTTATGGATATTGCATATTTTATTTGCAGCACAATTTTAAATATTCACGCAGCCTTCCTAGATCCACTACAAATACATTACATGAGATGTGTAGAATAGACAATCGAACTAATCAAGATTGATACATTTTCTGATCTGTCAGTTCTCACTGATTTCTTTCTTCGTCAATGTCCCCGAATGACTGTTCAAAAGAGTTTTCGCGAAAATTAAACATATTTTTTAAAGTAACTCTCTTGTGAAATAGTTCTTTTGGTGTTTAATTCGTGACAATGAGTAATGTATTTGAAGAAAACATTATAAACGATAAATCTATGGATTACTTTTCCGCTGTGTGGGCTAGAGGAGAAAAGTAAGAGCGCAGAATATCTGTATGATAATAGCTTAATTTAGATATAGATACATATGAACAGATTGTGGTAAAGAGAGTGACAGACCGACAGGCATAGCGATAAGAAGTGTTTAGTATAGATAGATAGATAGATAGATAGATAGATAGATATGAAAAGTGTGTTAGATAGATAGATAGATAGATAGATAGATATGAAGAGTTTCTGATATATATATATATATATATATATATATATATATATATTGAGAGAGAGAGAAAGGGAGAGAGGGAGTTAGCTAGATAGATATAACAAGATTTAGATACATAGAGATATGAAGTGTTTCTTATATAAAGAGAGAGTTATAGAAAGAGAGAGAGCTACATAGATAGATAGATAGATAGATAGATAGATAGATAGATAGATAGATATGAAAAGTGTGTTAGATAGATAGATAGATAGATAGATAGATAGATAGATAGATAGATATGAAGAGTTTCTGATATATATATATATATATATATATATATATAGAGAGAGAGAAAGGGAGAGAGGGAGTTAGCTAGATAGATATAACAAGATTTAGATACATAGAGATATGAAGTGTTTTATATAAAAAGAGAGTTATAGAAAGAGAGAGAGCTACATAGATAGATAGATAGATAGATAGATAGATAGATAGATATATGAAGAGTTTGCGACAGACAGATAAAAGATATAAGTAGACATCGATATATAAACATATATATATGTGTGTGTGTGTGTGTGTGTGTATGTATGTATACTAGATAGATTGATATGACAAGACTTAGATAGATAGATAGATAGATAGATAGATAGATATAAGTTGACATCGATATATAAGCATATATATATATATATAGATTGATTGATAGATAGATAGCTAGATATGAAGAGTTTGCGACAGATAGATATATAGATAGATGTGAAGAGTTTCTGATATATATATATATATATATATATATATATATATATATATATAGAGAGAGAGAGAAAGAGCGTGAGAGAGATAGAGAGATATAAGTAGACATCAATATATATGCATATATATGTATATCTTGCTAGATATATAAATATGAAGAGTTTGCGACAGAAAGACATATATATATATATATATATATATATATATATATATGTATGTATGTATGTATGTATATAGATAGATAGATAGATAGATAGATAGATATGAGAAGACATCGATATATAAGCACACAAGTCGAAAGTGTATATTGCTTTACACGTTATCTACGTAACATAATATTTATGTGCGATCATGGCTCTCCAAATCTTCCTGTCCATTGTGTCCCTTAGCTGTTTTTCTCTCTTTGCTAAGGCTCCAATACTCCGTTATACACGCTCGTTGGGTAGGTGGCTCGCTGCCTCCCCACCCTTCTCTCTCTCTCTCTCTCTCTCTCTCTCTCTCTCTCTCTCCACACACACTCTCCCTCTTGCCCTCAATATGCCCTGTGATGTCAAAGCTTTCCAAGTCCTCCTTCTTCATTATGCGTCCGAGAAAATTTCATCTGTCTCTACCTGATTCTGAGCATGTGTTCTTTTTGTTGCCATAAGTCTTTCTCGTTTCTCCCTCCTGGTAATCACAGAATAGATAATAAGAAAAACAAACAAAACGTAAATGATGTCAGAAGAGGGGTGGGGAGAGAATGAAGAGAGTGAGAAGTCTTTGAATACCATAAATAAAATGAGAATTTTTGCTCAACGAAGATTAAGAATTGTTGGAAGATAATAATAAACACCGATAAGACAAAAGATTTGAAAGAGAAAAAAAGAAGGGTAAACATGAAAAGGCAAGAAAAGGCAAGAAAAGGAAAAGCAATTAAAAGAAAATTATACAAAAATTAATATGAAAACCATCAAGAAGAATTAAAAGGGAAGTGAAAATAAAGAGAGTGGGGCGTTATCCTAACCCGTCCCCTTTGTCCGAGCTGTCTGGTACTTATAAAATCCGTTTTATGATAATTAAGTCTCCCGACGCTGTTTGAGCGAAAGGCGTCAAGGCTCAACCTGTTTACTCGCTTTGATATGCTTTCTTGATGTTTGATAGGTCAAAACCTCTCAAGTGACGGACCCGCACTTCATGCATCTCGCGATGCTACGATTTTTCTTTCCGCCACCAAATTGCTTTTTCGTGATGTCGGCTTTGTGAGTAAGTCCTCCGCTGTTTCGTTGTTTGACCAACAGTGAATCACACATTGAAAATCAAACAAAGAGAACAGACAGGACGACCGTTAACTGCTAGCCTTGAATAAACTTAAGAGTTTTTTGTTGTTTTTCTTAAAAAAAAAAAGAAAAAAAAACTTTCTCCAAATTACTCTTTCTTTCTTTCTTTCTTTCTTTCTTTCTTTCTTTCTTTCTTTCTTTCTTTTTCTTATCCCCCCACCACTGATCATTATTTTATTTCATTCCCCTCTCCACTTTCTTGTTAAACTTCAAAACGTAAAAAAAGCTTTGATCTGACCCCAGGACTGTTGACACTAGTTTTACACTTTCTATCTATCGCAATTATTTCGATATATTTATATTAACGTTTCTCCAGTCTGGCAAAGGGTCAGAAATGTGTGCTCTGTAATGATCCAACCCACTATACAGGCCAATAGTCTATTGCGTTTCGCTTACTAACCGAACAGTTTTGAAGCATTCATTGTTTTTAAACTACGACATCAGTTCACATCTCTGAGACTTACGACCAGACCACGTTGAAGCACCGGTCGAATTAACAAAAGTCGAACCTGGTCAGTACCAAAATGCTTGACCGCTTGGGATTGCCAGGTGTTGTAAGCTTGGATATGCGGGTGGTGTAATAAATAATGGCTCAGAATTGTTAATTAGACAGCCGAGTTCCAATACCTGTTGGTTTTGTTATATTCCTTGTCTTTGTGTACCGTGTCCCCTCGATCATGTGTCTCCACAACTTCCGCTTCTTATTAAATTTTGTCTTTTTGTTCCGGCATTATTAACTTTTTATTTTTTATTTTTTTGTTCCGGCTCTTATTAAATTTTGGCTTCTGTTCCGGCATCCATTTACTCAAGCTCATTAAGTATTTTACGCGCTGCTGTCCTCTGTCCCTCTTGCCTGTCCTGTGAGTATCATATTTTTCAAGCCTCCTTTCCTTATTATATATCCTAGAGATTTTAACTAACTCTTCCTGGTGTTAAGTATACGTTTCCTTTTTGTTTCTATTTTCCCCAAAACCTTTGTTCGGTCCATGGTAACCTCGGCAAAATTCTGTAGAACCAATAAGTAAATAAATAAAATTTCAACAGCATAACATATTTAAGGGACAGCGGAAAACAAGCTCATGACATACTTAAGGAGCTTGAGTAAATGGATGGCGGAAAAGAGTTCAGGAGAATTAACAGAAAGACAAAATTTATTAAGAGCTGCAAGAGATAGGAAGTTGTGGAGAGCCTACATTCTGAAGGGACACTGCACACAAAGAAGAAGAAACACACAAAAATATAAAGGGCCGTAAGACAAGTGGGGGCCTTCTCATTGGATTTATTAAATCTTTACAGCGAAGCGATCCACAGAGAACTAGAAGTCCTACCAAAATTTATTATTGGCGGACAAATTCTTAACAATACGGTGGAGTAATGGACAGCGGCTCGGATTGAAGAATCGGAGAGCCGAGTTCGAATTCAAGTCGAATCCATTATATTCACTTACGTGCTAATAATCTTGGGAAAGGTATGAATCCTCTTCTTCTTCCCCCACCCAAAGATGTGGGGAGAAGAAGGCGATTCATACTTTCATGTAGGACATACCGGGTTCTATAGCTTTGGATGGCAACTGGTCTACCTACTGTGGAAAAAAAATCTACCTTGTCAGTCATGTATCGAAAGATACATGAACGCTTATGCGTGTATTACACATGGCATATAACTGACTGAATAAATTTAGCGAAGTAATGCCGACAGAGTTGAAAGTTATTGAGATTTGGAAAAACGTTCATGAAATTATGTTTCGAAAATAATATCTGATAATGCATTTTGCCTATATGGCTTCATCAGATGAATAACGAAAAATGTGTTGTGTGTTTAAAATAATTAAATCTTATATTATTTTTCCCAAAATGGCGTTGCTCGAGACTAAAAAAGAGAAAGAAAATGAGCGACTTTTAAACAATCGTTTAATATTTTATATTCTCCGCCTTAAGTGTTTGAGTTTTGTCTACCCATTCTGAAGGATTTCCATCTCAAAATGACACAGTATTGATTGCAGACACTGGAAGGGAAATGCGAAAACTCCTGCCGAAGGTAGTAAAGATAAACGAGACGAAAGGATTAAACATCAATTGCAAGAAAACAGAATCCATGGTTGTCAGCAAAAGGGGTTGCCCAAGATCCAAATTACAAATTGGTGATACCAAAATCAATCAAGTACGTAAATTTAAATATATAGGAAGTGTTTTTTAAAAAAAAGAACTGGAAATGTTAGACAGAAATCTTAAGTCACTTTGAAATATCAAAAGATGTCTTCAAAGTATTAAGAAACAGGAATTTTCGTTAGAAACAAAGATTCTAATCAACTGTTATGTAATATCATTCCTCCTATATGACAGTTAATGACGAACTTTCTCTACACAGATGAATAAGAGACTTAAGACATCAGAAATATGGTTCTACTCAACGATGGAGAGAATACCATGGACTGAACATGTGAGTAACGACGAAGTTTTAAGGAAAATGAAAACACGAAAACAAAGCAGACGCTTTTACTTAAAATCAGAAAGACATAGATTAAATCACTTGAACACATAATCTGGAAAGAAGTTCTAGAACATTTAACATGCACAGGTCATACCGGAGGCATAGATAAGCCGTGAGTAAAATACTTGATTAGCTTGTGCGGATTAATGACAGAGCAAGAACAATGTGTGATGGCAAAGAGCCAGAACTATCATAGAGCAACAAAAAACAAAAACAAAATGATGTTGAGGGTCATGATCGTTTATTCCTTAAAGTACGTGACACATAAAGACGACGTGTCAGGGTGTGGATCAGTTTGTATACGTATTAGATTTATGCAAAAGTTCGCAGTGTTTTGTTTTTTGGGTTTTTTTTATTTAGAATAATATATTCTAAATACGCTGTCCAGAGGTCTGATCCAAAAGTATCGAGTCTGTTACTATGGTAAAGGAAACTAACGTACCCCGAGTGAGGATGCTAGGAAAAAAATGACCTTGACCTCTTTCGCGCATGCGCACTAAGTTATGACGTTATCTCTCATTTCTGTTGTTTATAGAAGGAAAATGTGTAGAGTGTGATCTTCTCATCACACCAAAGTGGTCATGGCTTGTGCAGCAGTTTTTGGCCAAAGACAAAAATCCCCAGGTCTGACAACCTCCATATTCCATAGATCTCGACCCTTGCAACTTTTTCCACTCCAAAAATAAAATCTCACTTGAGACGAAAATGATTTCAAGACGTCGAGAAAATCCAAATGAATGCGACCGCGCTATGCCAAAAAAAAAAAAAAGGATTTCCAGGAAGGTTTCCTTCAGTGGAAACGACGCTGGATAAATGTGTGTGACTTCAGACGAGGACAATTTAGAAGGAGATTAAATGCCGAAATGATATTATGATTTTCCAAATGTATCATAGTTGGGCACACGGCCGAAAGTATGGGGCACTCAGTGCCGAATTCATATGTATCGAAGGTTTTTTAAAATTTTGATAAACCTCGCAATTTTGTAAAAAAAAAATGCGAGAAAATGTTGCATGACCTAATAGATAGATAGATATAGCCAACCATTTTGCATGCACCAATTTAAAGAAAAAACGAAAGAAAAAAAAATTGAATGCGCCACATAGATAGATAGATAGATAGATAGATAGATAGATAGATAGAACAAAAAATTGCATGAACCAATAAAACGAGCGAAAGAAAAAATAAATGTAGTATGCATCTTATGATTATATATATATATATATATATATATATATATAGAGAGAGAGAGAGAGAGAGAAAGAGAGAGTGAGAGATGGGTAGATAGATAGGAAGGAAAAAAGAATATTTTGCATGCATCAATAAGACGAAAGAAAGAAAAAATGTAGAATGGGCCTGATAGATAGATAGATAGATAGATAGATAGATAGATAGACGGAATGAAAAAAGATAAATAGACAGATGAAGAGAATGATAAAAGACAAATAGATAGATGAACAGAATGAGAATAGATAGATAGATAGATAGATAGATGAACAGAATGAGAATAAATAGATAGATAGATAGATAGATAGATAGATGAACAGAATGAGAATAGATAGATAGATAGATAGATAGATAGATAGATAGATAGATAGATAGATAGATAGACAGAAAAAAGAAAGAAAGAAAGAAAAAAGAAAGAAAGAAATAAAGAAATAAGAATTTCTACGCACCAATAAATAGAAAGATAAAACAGGAATGGAGAATAGATGAAATTTTAAAGATCAAATCTTGATAAAGCCTTTAGAAAA